TTAATCGATTTTCGATTCTTTTTTCCAAACATCGATGTTTCTGACCAAGGTACGAAAATTTTTCATTTTTTTGTCGAAGAATACTGTTGATTCATTGAGAATAAACAAAATACCAATTTATCCGCAATCGGAAGTAATTATTTTCTTCAGCATGTATGTTATAAATGATAAGTGACCAAGTCTAGTCGTTTATTGTTTTTTGAAATTAAAATTTTTCAATTTTTTTTAAATTTAAATTTTTAACAATGATTACAGCTAACGGAAAATATTCAATATATTTCCATCAATTAATCAAAAACCCAGTTTCGAGATTCAAAATTCAACTTTCTAGCACTATACTTATCATTGAAATGTAAGTTCCTCGGGCTGTATTTCTTTTAAATCTTTTAAATATAAATTAAAGCAAAAAAATAAAAAAATTTGTTTTTTTTGTTGTGCAATGAGAAAAAACATCAATTTTTTTAATAATCGATGTTTTTCCAGAAAGATCGATTCACAATATTGACGTTTTTAAAAAACATCGATTCTTCAATAATCGATGGTTTTAAAACATCGCCCATCCCTGAAGCAGATGTTTCTCACCGGTCTATATTTAGAACAGGCGACAGTGAGAGGTTATTGCTTCAACAATGCTCTTGATAGAATAGTATATTTCGTCACTAGGCCGAAAGAAACTTTTCTGGCGAATATGAGTTTGCAGCCCGAGCCGAAGGCGAGGGCTGCAATCATATGAGCTAGAAAAGTTTTTTTTGGCCATATGACGAACAGTATTTTTTGTTATGACGGCCGTAGGCAGAGATTCACGGCCGGAATGACAAAAAATTAAATAGTTTGAAACGACCCACGTGACTAGAGATTGCGCATTTTTCTCCATTTGATTTTATCAAGTTTTTTTTATAGTCAGACATTTGTTAAATATGAAATTAAACTTCGAACCGATGAAGATATGGAGTCGCCTATTCCACCAAGAAATGAAGCAACAGTGGAATACGGTGTGGAGTAGACCAGTTGGTTACGAAACAGGAATTTTTGTTTATAATCCAATTGTGAAGAAAAAAGTGCCTTTGATCCTCAAAAATCATAAAACTGCTACCTGGTATGTTTGCGGTCCCACTGTTTATGATTCTGCACACATTGGACACGCCTGGTAACTAACACAAGTGCATTTTCAGTATAAATAATTTTAGGCAATTGAAAATTTTAATATTTAATTATTATCAGAGTTTCACTTAACAAAAACATGAATGAAGTATAAACTGGCCAAACTTGTACAATTATAAGGAGACGTTTGATATTGAGATGATTGTCCAAAACATTACAATGAGAAAAAAAATTATTTTTGTAAATATTCCTTTACTTCAGAGAAGCATTTATTTTTTCAAAATCGTATATTTCCATTCGAGTCATTCCCAGACGAGCCTGATTAAGTTTCAATTATGACAATCGTATTGCTCTAGAGAATGACCATGTGATGACCTGCGATGAACCCCTCCAATGATTATTCATTTTTCCTAAATTTAGAAATGTTCTAAAGGAAAATTTAGAAATGTTCTATACGAGTTGCGTATAGAATTTCTATAGCATTTTCGTGTATAATATACAAAAATACCAGTGATATTCGGATATTTCTATCCGAAAAATAAGGATATTCGGATATTTTTTATACAAATTATTTCTATACGATTTCTATAGGTTTGATCCTATACGATCCCCCTGCCACATATAGAAACATTCCGTATGGAGTTGCGATATTTCTCTACGTTTTTCTCTGGAACGTTTAGACATCTTTCGTATGAAAACAAAAATTTTTGTAAAAATTTAGGTATCAAAATAATTCGTATTAGCGATCGCAACGTAGATGTGGGAGCCACCAAGTGGTCTCTAAACTAACTACTCTTAGGCGGCAAGCAATGAGATCCCTCGGAGGGAACCAATGATGGAGCTCAACCAGTGAGATCACTGGATTCTCTTTGATCTCATTGGTTGGCCGCCAAGAGTAGTTAGTGGAGGAACCTCTTGATGGCTCCCACATCTACGTCGCGATCGCGAATAGAAAATATTAGATATTCGTATATAAAATTTCTATACGATTTTTTCATACGTGTAGAGAGAATTCCGATTAATTTTTTGATACTTAAGTATTGAGGGAGTTCACTCAAGGTCATAACTAACATGATCATTATCTAAAGCAATATAATTGTCATAATTGAAACATGATGAGAAATACGGTATTGAACAATTAATAGCGGTTTTCTTGGCACAATTTTTTTCCAACTTGTCTGGGTGCGTTTCTACGAAACTAATTTTTTTGTTTCAGATTTTGACGCGTTTCTTGGGGACTGAAATAACCTCCACCCCCGCCCCCTCCTCGCTGCTGATAGGGTTCAATTGTTTTATTGAAATTTCAATTGCCAAGAAACACGTCGAAATTGTAAACAATCAAAGTCGTTTCAAAGAAACACACTCGGATAAGTTCTATTTACTCGGATAAGAAATATTTCTCCCAAGTAAATTGATATTGAACAAAAATATTTGTTTTTCTGTGTGTAATGTTTTCAACAATTCTCATCAAATTGTGAAAACGATTTAAACAAAATCAATAGAAATCAGGAAATTTCAGACAAATGAATATATTTTTTAATTTCGCCATAATTAAGTGTATGAGAATTTTCCATTGAATAGTCCCCATAATTTACACCATAATTACCCCATAATTTACATAAAAAACAGGAATCCTCCCTTAAAGATATGTAAAATTCGCCAACTCGAAATTTTCCATTTCAGTTCCTACATCCGATTCGACATAATTCGACGTATCCTCTCCAGCTTTTTCTTAATTTCCGTCCTCCCTGTTATGGGCATCACGGACATAGACGATAAAATAATTCTGCACTCCCAGGGATCCTCAAAATTTTCTTCCTGGCGCCACCTCTCCAAGCACTACGAGCAAGAATTTTTTTCAGAAATGCGTCAACTCAACATCCTACCTTCTTATGTTTACTGTCGAGTAACCGACTATATTCCAGAGATAATAAACTTCATCTCTACCCTCATCACCAAGGACTTCGCCTATAAATCTACCGACAACTCCATTTACTTCAACGCCTCAAAATATCCAGCTTATGGAAAACTTCGAAAACCTGATGAGAATATGACTTCATCCTTGAAGCTCTCACCCTGGGATTTTGCCCTCTGGAAGGCTGCAAAACCTAATGAACCCTTTTGGGATAGCCCTTGGGGTCCAGGAAGACCAGGGTGGCATATAGAATGCAGCACAATGGCCTCCGTCACTCTAGGAAATAACATAGATATTCACAGTGGAGGATTAGATTTGATTTTCCCTCATCACGAAAACGAAGAGGCTCAGTCGTGCTGTCATCATGAGACAGGGCAGTGGGTCAATTACTGGCTGCACTCAGGCCTCCTTCACTTAGAGGACACCAAGATGTCGAAAAGCCTTCAGAATACAATTACGATTAAAGAATTGTTGGAAAAGTTCACTGCTAATCAATTCAGGTTATTATGTCTCTGCACTCACTATCGATCGACTATCGAGTTCTCCCAAGAGACGATGAGTAAGGCAGTGGCTCTTCTGAAGAAGTTTGAGTATTTTCAGAGTGATTGCAGGAATTATGTGGCTGGAAGATTCCCCGTTGCGAACGTGGACTCCTCCACAATTTATGGGAAGTTGAGACAGGTTCAAGAAAATATTCTGGAGGCATTGAGGAATGATTTCGGGACTCCTCAGGTTGTGGATGAACTTAGTGAACTCGTCAGGGTGGTGAACAAAGGATTAAATAGTCCGATTCAAGGTAGTGAATGCTTTGAAGTCAGAGATGCTCCTTGCATTGCTGCTGCTGCGATTTATGTGGAGCGGGTGCTGAGAGATCTGGGGATTTGTATGGGTGAAGAGAGTTTGCAGGCTGGGGAGAGTGATGGAAAGTTTCGTAATGTTGTTGATGATTTCGTCAAGTTCAGGACGATTGTTAGGAATAAGGCTTTGGAAATGAGAGTCAAGGATAAGGAACTATTGGGTGCTTGTGATGATGTGAGGAAGAGTTTGGCGAATTGTGGTGTCAAAGTGAAGGTAATTCACTGAAAAATAGTAATTATTGGTAAAGTAGTAAAATCATTTGGAATGTTGATCAATAGAAAAATTCTCAGATTCTTTTGCAGAGGATAAAAGAAAATAATACAATTACTCAATTTTTTTCAACTCAAGCAGTTGAAAAAGCATTTCATGAACTGATCTGATTTCTGATGTGATTTCATGATCTGTTTTATCGACCTGATGTCAAATCTGTTGTTGAAATAAAGACTAAAACTATTTCTATGATTTCTGTTACAGGATTATAGGAATACTGCAACATGGACGTTTATAGAAGAGTAATTAAGAATGTTAATTGAATAAATAAAGGTTTTACGTAATTAATCATTTTATGCGTATTTACATTACAAAGATTAGTCCTCAGTGTTCATCTCAATATTTTCAGAAAGTTTTGCTTTCTTGGTGGATTCTCCTTTAGCCAGAGAGACTTTTCGCTTTCGTTCTTCTTTCCTTTCTGCTAGAGTCTTCTTCAAACCCTTCATCTTTCGTGTTTGAATGCTGTTAATGTCCTGTACTCCCAAGTGGATCCTTCCTAGGGTTGAGCCAAGATTGTCCACGGAAATATTTTTCTTCTTCTTAATCTTGAGGGCTTTGGGTTTTTTACACGCTTGTTTGAAGAGGTCGTCTGAGGCGAATTTGGCTCTCCTGATTGTTAGGTCCATCCGGGGGCCAATTTCGGAAAGCTCTACCCTGGGAATTCTTGTGCCTGATTTCTTCAATTGTACTCTGCAAATAATGAATAAAATATGAACATGCTGCTTAGAGAAGCGATGTGGAGACTGAAATGTAACTGAAAATTCAATTACGGGTTGAATGGATTCACAAATATTTAGCAATTATTTCCACATCAATTTGATCAATTTTCAATTAGAAATTGGAGAAAGAAAATTAACTGATTAATTTGTAATGACAGAATTCGATGAACCAAAATTTCAACTCAAAGATTTAAAAAATGAACGTTTCATCAAGGAATTATTTCAATAATTGGACTAAATTTTATAAATAAATTTAATGAATGATTTCGTTATCCAACAGTTCAAAATTCGACTATTAATTAATGCCGATTTACAGTTTTGAAAAAATGAAAAATGGTTTAACGCGTAAAAAGGATAAATTACATACTTGTAACTCCTCAGACAAATTTTGTTATCCACAGCTGTGAAGCTGAGTACATGTTCCAATCCCTGGAGCCTGATATTATCCACAGGCTCTCTCTGGAACATATCTACTAGTAGATTCTTGATTCTCATAAACTCGTGATTATTCTCGAACAATTCCCCATTGAAAACTAGTAGAGGCTTTAGTGCCGCGGTGATTTTCTCGACTTTGAAATCTTTCAACGATATATAATTATCAATGCCGAATTCTATCATATCCAACAATGTGTGCTCAAAGGTCCTTCCCATGACGAGATTATGAGGTCGTTTTTTATTGTTCGAGACGAACATAAATAAAGGTGCGTTACTCTTCTTGCAGAACTTTTCGATGGGTGTAACATCTTCAAAGGGGAGGATCTGACTCTTCTGTTGTAAGCATGCACCCAATGGCTTTTTTAAATTGTACTGAACATAAAAGCATGAAGATGCATTATTAATTCAAATTATTATTTAACATTATACAATAGATTCTTTAATGTGGAAATATTTACAAGATCCTTCATGGCGTCATTGGCATATTTCGAGGCAGTACTGCCTTTGATGAATAATGCATCTTTGGGGTCTTCAATCAACTTCGGTTCTCTCTTGATGAGGATTTTCTTTCCTCTGTGTGTCGTTGGTTTCCTAAACAAATAAAGATTATTTTCAAATTTCATTTGCCTGAACGCCAAATATTTGACGATAAAATGTAAATCTACGGAATTCGTAACCAACAAATACTCACACAACTCTCTGCAAAATTGGCATTTTTACTATTAGAAATTCCACAAACTCCCAAATATCAAGTTAATGTCGATTTTATCGATAATCTTTCTATTCATTATATTGATTATTTATATTTTATTATATGTTAAAACCAGCTATTTATCTTTCTTTTAAGGCCTGCAACAGAGATTATAGGGGGGATTGTCAGCGCCATGAAGCATAGAGACTCTATTCTTCATGACCAGCGCTTATGGAAACGTTTCATAGATATTGGCGATGCCAAAAGTGTTTCCAGCGCTATACCCAGAAAAACGGACTGATTCGGAACTACTCTAAGGCGAAATAGCCAACGTCACGCCCTATTTTGTGACCAACTTCACATCAAAACAAAGTGAACTTCATTTTACTCATAAAAATGACTACAAATGTTTATAAAAAAAATGATCGAAGAGTCTGCTGTGTGCCAAACTGTAAAATAAAAGATAAATCAAATTTGAGCTTTCACAATTTCCCTACCTGCCATCAATGTATTTAAAAAAAAAATCTGGGAGTTTGGATCATTCTTTTTTCTGCCTTCTGCACTTTCATGCAATAAAATTCCTCCAAATTCACTACCTGATTCTGGGAATAAATCAGCATTTGATTTCACCTTGCC